CCAAGCAGGCTCTGCACCGGCAGCGTTGAGTCCTATGTGGGTCTCGAACTCAGGAACTCATGACCTGAGCGAAAACCAAGAGTCATACACTTAACTAACTGAGCCACCCTGGCACCCCGACATAGCTCTTTTTTTTTAATAGGAGCCTAGAATTAACAGGAGGAGATTATAGGTTATTTAGGTTATTTGTCTAGACAAGTAAATTACAAACAGCTACAATACTGTATCATAAATGCTCTGATAGAAGTAAATGTACGGTGTCAAGTGAAACACTGAAAAGGGAACAAGGATGGAGGTCAGGAGAGGACTCACAGAGGCCCTGCAGGAAGATTTTTTAGGAAAATGATGATGGTTGAGCTGGGTCATAAAAAATGAGAGGAGATGAAAGGTGGAAGACAAGAAGAAAAGGAAACATTCTAAACAAAGAGAATCACATGTGCAAATGGTAAAGGCATGAAAAACTGTGAAAATGGTGCAAATCACTTAGAATGGTTCAAGCAAGCACAAAGTGACAATGAATGTAGCTAAAGAAGGATTCAGAGATCAGATGTGAAACTAAAACTAACCATAAATTATTTGAACTTTATTCTCAAGATATGAGGAGCCATTGCATAATTTTGAGGGAACAAAAAAAAATAGATATATTTTAGAAGGGCTACTTTCACAGCAGGGGGGAGGATGAATTTGACAGCACAGAGACTGGATGTGGAAAGACCAGTTAGGAGTCCTCTGGAATAATTTAAAACCCTCTTCAGGGACATAAGTAAGAAAAGTGTAATGGCAGCAGATTGAGTGGATGATATCAGTAAAGAGGCTTGAGCTGGAGCTATGGATTTGAGAATCAACATTTAAGTGGCAGCTGAGCTATGGGAGAGATGATCTGGCAGGAAGAACACAGTGCAAAGCGAAGAAAGCCAGGAGCAAGCTCTGTGTGCCTCTGGTGTTCAGAGGCAGGAAAAGTGGATAAACTCCTGAAGGAGATGGAGGAGGGATCATGACAAAGATGGAAGAGAACCCATGAGAATGGGGTGTCAGCTTCAAAAAGAGGTTAGAATACAGAACCAGGAATAAGTATGCATTACATTTGTCAATCAGGCTTCTGGTTGATCTTCTCCATGATTACTCAATAGAGGGTGGCATGGAAGCCACATTTTACAGTGTTGTGGATTAACTGAAGATAAGAAAATAAAGATAGCAAGCATAAACTACTCTTTTCCCAAAAAGGTTGGACATGAATAAAAGGAGAATAAGGTAGTAAATATTGTTTTGTTATGATGTTATTGTTGTTACTACTCTTAACAATAAAAATTATTGAGAGATTGTTTTTAATGTGATGGAGAAAGTCATGATTTTAAGAAACTGAAGAATCAAAAGAGTAAGTTCCTTAAGAGGGTGAGAGTACAGGTAGGACCCCAGCCCTGGTCAGGGAAACCACCTCAAGAGAGACAGAGGGAAAATGGGGCAGAGTTAGGAATACCAGTGAGTTTCAGAAATTAATGTTCCCATTTATGACCCCTATTTTCTCTGTGAAATCATTACTAAAAATAAGAATGAAATTGATGAGCAGAGTGGTTAGAGAGAGCAAAGGAGAGAGAGAGCTGGAAAGGTAGGAGCTTGTGATAGAATATTAGATATAAGGAAGAACTGTTCCTTCGCTTCCTCCTCAATAGTACCCGTCATACCTCACTCATAAGGTAAGAACTTTCACCAACTTCTGGCCTCTTGGAGAGGACGACTTGGGGAAGTCCTATGGAAGAAACTACTACTATTTTCTCCAGCTCACAGTAAAAAAAGGGGGGTAGGGAAGACATGTTGATTTATATGATGGTGAGAACCTGTCATGCATCAGTCCTCAGCTCTCTGTTGGGTAGGGTGGGTGCACTAAGTCACTGCTCACGTGTGGCTCTCTGACTTTTACTGACTTAACATTCCTACAGGTGTAAGGCAAGCCAAAATACTCTGTATTGCTTATGGGTGCACATCTAACTCTCTCCAACACTGCAGACTTTATAGTTTACTATTGGAAGAGGAAGTAACAGGAGGCTCCCACTTCAGTAGCAAGTCCCAGACACATTTTCCTATCTAGATTTATCAGCAGCAAAGTGGATACTAAATTTCAATCCTCCTCTAAGCTTTTCTACTAATTTTCTAACTGACTTAAAACTTGAAGAGGCTAGGAGGGGAAAATCCTAGATTTAGAGTCTGAAATTTCTGAAGGATCTCCTGGTAGAATATTTGTCAATGATTAAAAAAGGACCAGGAGAAGTCATGGGAGTATAACGTTAGTGCAGAATAGAGAGCCCCTTTCTCAAAGACAAGTAGCTGTCGGGTGTTGGACATTATCTCTACATAGATCTCTACCAAAATCATCCAAGTTGAAGGTGAATTTAGGATGAAGAAGAAAAATGTAAGGGAGGTTCTAAATATCCTAATGAATGCAAGAGAGTGACCAGGACGTGATAGTGATGGTGAATAGATGGGAAATGCAGAGCTTATACCACCAGGGACTTAACTGAAGACTTTTATAGGAAGTTGAAGTCACGATATTTAGAAGCCACAAAAGGAGAAGCAGCAGATGTGAACCCTGATCCAGGTCCTTAGATTCTTTGGGTTTGAGCCAATAAATATTCTTCACTGAAAAGGGCTGCAGGGTAAGCAATAATCTCCGGGAGAAAACGAGGTCGCTTTAAGATAAAGCATACAATGATTTGAGAAGACAATACAAATAAATATACAACTACCATTGATCCAGAAAGCAGAATGGAAAGGGAGGTTCAAAGGGTAGAGAGCAAAGAATAGAAGCCAAAAAGTGTCCAGGAACAAGCTGTCTCTTCCCATGCCATCAAGACTGACTGTTGGTTTTCATGCAAGTTGGATACAATGAGAAATTAAAAAAAAAAAAAAAAGATTCATACATCCCATAAACACTCTATATAACTTAAAACATAAATGTACACACATGTGCCAATCTTCTGATGTAAGGCCAAGGCCTGTTCTCTGCATATGGATCTGCTGATTGGAGTTACATGTCTTCTGTCTTACATAAACCACATCCTTCATCTATGATTTCCAGTTTGGCTTTCTTTAAAGTGGAGGGAGAACCTGAAGACACTTGTGAAATAATCTGGAAGCAGAGCCCATCTAGATTTTTATAACTGCCCCCACCTTCTTTCAGCATTGTCCTGCTTACACCTAGCCAACAGTAAAGCTTTTATAGCTAACATGCATCAAGCCATTCCAAAGTTGTGTTTATAGAGACAAAACTCGGTCTTTTCTGTATTTGCTCAGTTCATTTACTCTTCATTTAAATTACATGATTAAAATGAGAAGTACAACTGGCTAAACAGGCTTGAGGTCAAACACAACACAATGGACCTTGGAAAGAAGACAGTTTTACTGGTGGGAACAAAAGCACATGGGCAATCTAAGGGTGGGGAGGGGGTTGGCTGAGAGTGGCAATCATGTGGTTAATAGAGAATGCAGCATCAGTTAATTCAGTGTCACTTATGAGGTAGCCAGTCAGGAGAGCTTTAGCTATACAGGTGGCAAGACTGACTGCATGTTGAAGTACAGGCAAGAACAAGAGGAATGTGTAGTATTATCAATGGGCTTTGAGTTTTCAAATGGAGAGCTGGTGTAAAGATTGGTTTGTTTCTTCTCCATGTGCATCCTCTTCCCTTTCCTCAGTCCCTTAACTCGTATGGTTTTTCCCATTTTGAAGAGAAGTACGATATTAAGGAACAATGTGGAAGAATATCAAGAGGTCTAGAGAAAAAGTCTGAAGGTCCAGAGGCACTTCTAGGCCCCCAAGCTATTCCCCCTTTTTCTCCTTTTCTTTTAGCATTGGCATCCAGGGATTTAGCTGGCCCTCTTCTTTCACTACTTACATCCTCCTACACTTGAATTTTTCTGTCAGGTAACTGGAAACAAAATTCATATTCATCTATGTTCTCTATCCCTCTCATTCCCCCCTCTCTCTCTTCCCACTGGTTGTTCAGGGAAGTTACTCATAGTAACCATACAGAAAGGGAAGAGAACTCTCTATACTTTGAAGAAATTATCATAAGTGTCAGTGTTACCTGTCACGGGGCTAGGCCTGCCCTACCCTAAGCATCATCACTAACTCCCTTACATTTTCTAACATAGTGTACCCCTCTCATGCTCCCATGGAATGGATGGAATCCAGCAAAATTCCTCCACATTCCTCAGTGAGGAGCCCCCGGGGGAAGGAGTGTCTCCCTAACCATTCTACATCATAGATTCAATAAATATCACAAGGTAGAGAATATTGGATGCTACTAAAATGGCCATTTATAGATCAGCCACCATTTACTGAGCACTTGCTATGGTTAATCAATGTGCAAAGTGTCCCATGAGTTTGACGCAACAACTTGTTTAATTCTCTTGGAAGTAGTAGTATTATTAGCATCACCCTCATTTCACAAAGAAATTAACAAGACTCTAAAGGATTAAGTATGATACTCAACGTCACACAGAAAGTAAGTAAAAGAGCCAGGATCTGAGTCTAGGCAACTAGACCCCAGAGCCTGGGGTCTTAACTACTACAGCACATTATTGCTTCCCAGAATGTCCAGGTTCAAATGGTATTCATTTAAAATTTAGAAGAATTTTTTCATTGATATATACCGTGTCAGTGATTCTCTTCCCTAACATTATCCCCATCCACATACCATAAGTAAAATTAGGGCATTCACCTAATTATTTTAAAGTGATGTTTACCTGTTTAAGACAATAAGGAAAAAATGAGCTGACTTAAATATACTTTTCCTGGTTTCAGCAATCCTGTTGGCCATGGGGTGATAGAAGACAATATCTCTGCCTGTCTATCATGAAAGTAATTCCCACTCAGTACTTTTCACGTTCCTTCCTCTTGGACAATCACAACAAAGTGAGGGTCAGGGAAAGAGGCACATAGCAGAGTAGGAAAAATGGGTAAACCAAATAATTACTTGTTGGAAAGTTAAATAATTCAAACTTACTTTTTTGGTACACTTCTTGACAGTGTTGATTAATTCTTGTATTACCAGATCTACACTCTTCAAGGAAGGTCCTTTCAGCTTTACAATTTGTTTTTTGACTATTGCTTCAAATGCCATGTCTGGAGTAAACAACCCTGTCCTGAATGTAAGGAAGAAAGCAGCACATTAGATTTTTTAAATTGAGTAATATCCAAGACTTTTTTGAAAAAGATTTCAAGTGACATGCCACCTAAAGCAAGTAGGTGATACCCAAGTTTAAAAGTCATGTAGTAATTTATTATATCAATAGTATCATTTATAATAATATTTTCAACACTATAGTTCCTAATAAATTCCAACCTATAGATGAATAGCGTTACCTAAAAACAGTTTCCAAAATGTTTTCATGGACTGTAATAATACAACTTTTAACTAACACTTAACTGTAATTTGTCTCATCTCACAGTTTCACACCAATAAAAAGCAATGCTACAATACACATGGTCTTAAATTTACATTTCTATTTCTAAAGTATTTCAAAAGCAACCTTCTCTTATCCTACACAGAGCAGAAAATAATCCTCACTCTGTGAACGCTGAAATAGTAGTGTTCCTGACTATGCAATCTCTTCTTTCCAGGAGTGCTGTATTATAGTGATCTCAGTGGTTCCCAATCTAAGGTCCTGGAATGCTAGTGGAAAAGGAAGACAGTTAAGTGGAACTAGTTTGGGACACAGAATGCCTAAATCATGAATTTACAAAAATAACAAGTGATAACAAAAATAGCAAGTATCTTGTCACCTAGCTGGAATTAATTCAAATTGGTGTCAGAGCAATGTTTTTCTCATGCTTTTCTCACTTCTTCTTTAATTAACTTCTCCTTCACCACCCAATTCTGTGGTATCTCTTTTGGGAAACTTAACACTTTCCTTACAGCAGCTTTACTCTGCCCCTTCTAACCATTTACTTAGCACCTTATGTTCACGTCAATTTCTAACTGTAGTGATTGTACTATATAGTAACTTGAAATCTCTCCATGTTGGACACAGAATAAAATCTGCAGTTTGGCCTAATATTAAACATTTCCCCCATCTGACCCTAACCTTCCATTGCAGCTATTTGCCTCCTCCCTTTCATGTACTCTCTGTTTCAGCCAAACTCAACCATTTGCCTTTCCACAAACATATTCATACTAGCATTTCCTGTCTTTGTATCCATCCATGATGTTCATTTCACCCTCCCCACAATTTCAGCCTGTCCGAATCCCACCTGTGCTTCAAAGCCCAGATCAAAAGCAATCACTTCCTACAGCTCGCCTTCTCTGGTCCTGCCTTCCTTCTCTGAACCCTAACATCCTCCTTGGCACTCCAGTGGTCCGAGTACGCACCATCCCATTACTATCCTGGTAGGTAGTGCATTAATGCATTTATCTTTGTTTGCCCCACAAGGGCTGTCTTCCTCCCTTGCTCATCATCCACACACAGCGCTTGCAGAACTAAGAAGGACCCACAGGTCTGCAGTGGACAAAGATGGCTTTTATTATTCAAATACCTAACAGAATCAACTGGAAACAAAACTTGTCAAATGGAGTGTATTTAAGAACCTAAAGAATCATGCCATCAGTATATCTTATTATCAGGACACTGTGCACTTCTTTTTCATCCTACAGACATATTAACTCCATAATAATAACAACCAATCTTTCCTTTTGGTATGTTGTAAATCAGAAATCTTCAAAACAGAGTTACTGAGCTCTTGCAGTTACATTCAACAGAAATATATTTGGTAAGGAGTTTGGGGGTTTTTTCTTTTTTCTTATTTACTTTGAGAGAGAAATAGAGCACATGCATGTGCACAGAGGAGTGGGAGAGAAGGGAAGGGAGGAGAGAGAGAGAGAGAGAGAGAGAGAGTCCCAAGTGGGCTCCACACTGAAAGTGTGCTGAAAGCACAAAGCACAGAGCCCAACACAGGGCTCAGTCTCACTACCGAGACTGAAATCAAGAGCTGGATGCTTAACAAACTGAGCCACCAGGAGACCCCGGTAAGGAGTTTTAAAAGCTAAGTAAAAGTACTGTATCTTACTTTTACAGCAAAGTAAGTAAATATAAAAATACTTCATGACCCAAAAAATGTGATTTGGTTTCACTGCACCTATCAGATTGACACTTTCGGATACCAGCGCTGCCCAGCTCAAGAGTAAGACATGGTTTCTATACCAAATATATTCTAGATTTGAGGGAGACAGAATAGAATTAATAGGGAACTTAGAAATGCTGTTGATAGTAACAGAATAATACTGGATTTGGTTATAGAATGTTTTCTCCCTTTTACTTCATGAATGCATATTTACCCATCTTATTTGCAACTTTTAGAGCAGACAGATTTTTTAAATGATGCATAATTCAAATGCTGTAACTCCTTTTACATGTACACTCAGCAGCAAGCTTTGCCCTCTCAGACTCTGTTCCCAAAATAGTATCAACTTGGCCCTGGGGCAGAAGCTAAGATATAGCTGCCAATGGACAGGGACACCTGCTTCACGGGAGATAATCAATACCTTAAATTCAGGACATTTCATATATGTGCCATTAAATTGTATTTAGCCTTCTGTACATGAACTCAAGAAACGTGTGTTTTAAATTTCTTTAAAGAAAGTGAGAATAATCTCATTTTATACAAGGGAAAATTCCACACAAGGTACAAGCTCCACTTGCAGGCTCACATCCTGCCATGCTCTTGTCTACATCCCTAACTCCTATCAAAACACAGGCTCCCTGCTCCATGTGTCCACACTGTGCTTTACCACCTCTGTGCCTTTGCTGACACTACTCCTTCCACTTTCAGTACTTTTTTTTAATCCTCCTGCCTCGACAATCTCCATCCTCTCAGGTTTTACACACACAGGCGTGTGCGTGCACGCACACATACACATGTGAACACAGAGCATACTGTTGCCTGTTGAAATCATTCTCTTTTTTTTTTAATGTTTTATTTATTTCTGACAGAGAGAGACGGCGTGAGCAGGGGTGGGTCAGAGAAAGAGAGAGACACAGAATCTGAAACAGGCTCCAGGCTCTGAGCTAGCTGTCAGCACAGAGCCTGACGCAGGGTTCAAACCGACAAACCTTGAGATTATGACCTGAGCCGGACACTTAATGACTGAGCCACCCAGGCGCCCTGAAATCATTCTTGTTCTCTAAACAGGCAAGGTTCAACTCAAAAGTCACCACCCTTCATTCATCTTTCCCAGTCTTACTTCACGGCTCCAGCCGAAATGTCTCTGTCCTGTCTCTGTGTAAGTAATGATTACTTATGGGCAGGTCAGGCCTCCTTCCCCAACATGCCAGGCTCTGGAGAACAAGATCTTGCTCCTTGGTAAAATCTCTAGTTGTGCAGTGCACAGTGCTGTGAGTGAAGAAAGTGTTTCTGCTTTTTTAACTGAAAAGTCTTCTTTTGTGAGCATGACAATACAGGAAATTAGCATGAAACTCAAACTAGAGTGTCCTTTTTCTTACTCCCATCTCTGTATTCTACTTTGCTCAGATAATGAAAAGGCTACTTCACTAGCCATTTATAAACATTAATTTTCTCTTAGTAGCTTGAGCTGAAGACAAGGAAAATGTGAATCACTTGCCTGATACCATGTATGTTTTTGATTGCATAGCTTATTTCTCTTCGTAATTCTTTCTCATTGAACTCCATCTGCAGAAGCAAAATGAGCCCCAGTTAAAACACTTAATTCCTTTGAATAACAATATTGTTGAAAATTAAAATATGAGAATAACTTGACTTAGTTATTAATAAATGAATACTATGCCTTTCCTAACCTAAACCCAGATGGTCAAAACATCTGTTTATATAAAGTTCAAGGCAACATAGAACATTGGGGATTTCTAGGAGTTTTAGTGCAATGGATTTTAACGCTGTTATAGATAGGAGTACTATACATAAAGGATGCCTTCTGGACATAAATCTGGCCATTCATCTGAAATACACAATTCTTCATTCTTTTGCTGAATGTAGTAAATGTATTCACAGACAAATGCATAAATAAGTGTCACCTGACATGTAACAGCAGTCCAGCTGTGCTGAGATTAACAATGGCTGTCTTTTCTCCCTGACCATTTTAACCACCTGCATTCAAGGCCTCTTTACAAGAGGAAATTAATAATATTTTACCAATCCAATGCAGGATAGATTGCTGCATAAAAATTTCCCAGAAGTTTTAGGTACTTTAAATTTACTTGGAATTAGGATCAAAGTGTCATGGAGCTTAGACCTAAAAGGGCTATGAGAGTACATTTGGTTCAGCCTTTTACTTCTGAGATTTGGCCCCTCCAGCCCATCTATCCATTTTCCCCCTCACACTCTATACCATAAAATGATAAGTTGCTTTAGTTCCCTACCCACACCCTGTGGCCCGCAGCTGAGCTGAGGCCTCTTCTGGCTATTCCTCCCCCCCTGGCTGGAACAATTCCAGCCCCCAACCTTCTCCTGCTTCACTAGTTGCTCATCCTTCTAAACTCAGCTCAGAAGCCAGGCTCCCTCACACACTCAGTCTGGGGATTCAGGTCCGTAGGCTGTGTTTCCATAGCACCTTGTGCTGAAGTTTATCACTTTACTTAGCACATTTTAACAAAACTATCTATTTACCCATTTGCCTCCCACCACAAGATAAAAGCACCCTCTTCTGTATGTGAAGCAAGTAGCATAGTCTTTAAAACACTTAGCTGCCTGTTGAACAATCCAAACTACACATATCTAAGATAAAACTCTTGGTTTGTACCTCTACACAAACTCAGCTTTTGTTCAGTTTCCCTCATCTGATGGGCACTGACATTTGCTATTGTGCAAGCCAAAACCTTAGGAGTCATCTTTGATCTTCCCTCTCTTGAATCTTGCATATCAATTCAAACCCTACTGACCCTACCACCAAAATTACAAATCCATCCACTTCTCCCCATCCTCTCTTCTGGAGCATTTTTACTATGAAGCTAAGAAAATTCAGTTTCAGGGCTTCTCTCTTGCATAAGAGCCTTCCAAGAGCCTGTGGCCATGTGTTTATAATTTTGTATTCTTCTTCTTCAACAACCCCCCAAAACTGTATAAACATTAGGTCCCACAGAAAGTGGATTCACTCCTGCTCTGGCCCTACTGGTGAACTTACCTTACTTATGTCCCTGAACCAATTCTTGCCCCTTTACAATCTAGCCTGCAAAGCATTCTTTTAAAATCATCAACCAAATCTGGTCACACCTTTTCTCAAAACTCTCCCCTAATTTCTCATTGTTAAATATAAATGCCTCACTCAACCTGGAAGGCCCTTCATAAACTGGGAAATTTCTTCTTCTGAATCCAAGGCATACCCTTCTCCCCTTCATCAGCTCTGCACCAGCCTCATCTATTCCTTACCCACTGTACAGATGCTGGCTTTAGGGCCTCATCCTTGACTGCTTGCCTTGAATGACTTTCTTCCCCAAGATTCTTACAGCTGACCTCTTCATGCCATTCTGGTTGTGCTTTCAATGTCCACTACTCTGAGAGACCTTGCCTGAAACATCCCATCAAAAGTGGCTCACCCAACCCCTCTCTCTGTCTCTCTCTCTAACATTATGTTACATAATAACACTTGATGCTTTCTTACATTGCCTATTTGTAAAATTTTCTGCCTTTCCCCACCAAACAGTGCCTCTGTCTTGATCACTGGCACCAAGAATTTTGGCACAGAATAGGTGCTCAAGAAATGTTTTTAAATTAATTAGACAACAAATAAACATCATAGGAACTCAATTAGTACTTGCTGAAATAATTTGAAATGTTGTTAGATCCCATTAAATAAAATCAGAACCATCCATAAGAAAATATTTCTCTCCTAAATTTCATCACCTTAATATGGAGATTTTTGTTCAAAGAACTATCTTAGTCCCAGAGCACTCATGTAACATTTTATGAACAGTTATATAGAATAGAACATGAAAATGAAATGAAGTTAAAGGGGGAAAAAATAACATTTGGTACAAACCTTTACTATCTCAAAAGGAAAGCGTTCGTGGAAAATACGGTTAATTTTAGCCCCTCCTGAGAGCTCCAGCGTATCTACTTGATCCCCTGACCCTTCAATTCTCTTCTCGAAGTCCACAGCAAATTGCTGAACCATCCTACAATCGTAAAAGAGAAATAAATTCAAGTTAAAGTTATAAGGCTTTACATTTCTCATTTTAATTTGCCATTGTTATCCCTTAGAGCCCTTTCCCTAGTGTTCTTAGTGGCACCTACTGGCAGAATGATCATTGCACTCAAAACTGTAACTCTATGAAATACATGCTATCAAGATTTATTTTAGGCATTTAATTATAATATATATCTTAAATACCTATGTCATTAGATGCATTCTGTCCAATTAGTTGAAATCATAAAATGGTATTTAAATATACTGAAAACAAGAATTTAAGTTAAACAATAAAACTTTGCATAGAATAGTCAAAATGAACCTCGGTTCCTTTTTTTTTTAATTTAATTTAATTTTAACAAAGTTAAACTTGGACAGGCATAGGTGGCAAATGGCTACCATATTGGACAGTGCAGTTCTAGACTCTGACATAGTGGCAATCTTCCCTTTCCAGGCATGAGTGGGAACAGCTGCTACATTAACAAGCATTGTTGAGGAGTGGCTACTAAACGTTTCTATTTCAAATCTAGAACAGAATTCTCTCTTTTCTTACCCCAAGGTAAGCATTATCTATAACATTTATTTGAACCTCGGTTCCTTTGATAGCACACTCGCCTAGTGTCCTAACTGCTCCAGCTGAGCCCCCTCATTACTCTGTGAGCTACTCTCTGTGAGCTACTCTCTTCCCCCCACCTCCAGGATCACAGACCTCAGTATGCCAGAACAATGCAAATTGGTGGCCTCCCCATCCCCCTCTACAACTAGCTCTAGCCTTGGTTTTCCATGATTCCCCACATTTAAATAATAAAAAGTAAAACTCTTTAACTTGTCACCCAGGATTCTTCCTGGTCTGGCCCTGGAGACTCCACCTCTCCCTGCTAGTCCACATTCACCTCTAAGCCAATCATAAAAAAGCAATTTGCAGTTCCCTACAAGTACCATGTCCCTGTGCTTTTACACCTGTTTTCCTTTCAGCTCAGAAAACCCTTTTCTCTGCCGCTTGCTTCCTTGCCTGGTTTATTGTTTTCTGCCCTTCAAGACTCAGGTCAAGCATTAGTTTTTTCATGAAACCTTCCATGACCCTATTCACCACCCCTCCTCACTACTGTCAGATGAAGGGCCCCTCCTCTGTTTCTTCAGCTTATTTTCAGCGTAGTGCTTAGCAGAGTACATCACCATTGTTCACCTACCAGTCTCTCTCCTAAGGGCAAGGACCATGTGTTTTATTTATCTCCCCCTTCTCAATACATGAGTCATACTCAGTAACTTCAATGAAGGAATGAATTACCTTAGGTGGTTGGTAAAAAAAAAACACAAAGAAATATAGGGAGAAAATAACCACTTCCATTTGTGATTACTAAATTTAGAAACTAATTTTGACATACTGGTACTACTTTCAAATTTAAAATTTAATAGAAAAAATTCAAACCATCTAAAACTTGTACTTTTTAGTCTCTTTCATCAAAGTCATGGATGAATTAAAACTGCAAATTATTCAGGCCAAAAAAATCAGAATATACTTTGATGTAGCTATGTTTACACATATGCCAATGTTAAACTAATTTTTAACCACCTGAGAAGGTATATACATGACACATGCACTGAAACCTGGGAAATTTTAGATAATTTACCTCCAGCCACTCCTTTGCTCATATCCTACACTCCAGCCCCCTGGTCCCCTAAAACAAACCATACCCAAGTTCACACTATTCTCTTCTCCTTCTCTTCCACCTGACAAACTCTTCCCATACATCAGCATCTCATTAAAGTATCATGTTCTCTGTGAACTCACAACCTTCCTCACCTATAACTGCTTCCTCATATGGGCTCCCTTAATATTTTATACTTACCAGAAACATAGCATTTATCAGATTTTAACACAGTTAGTTGCTTATAGATCTGTTTCCCTTATTCTACTATGGCCTCTCCTTGAAAGCAAAAGTCTTTCCAGTAGATATCAGAGAACCAGACTCCAAGTCAAACGCAAAGAGATGAGAGGAAAGCCAGAAGAGAGGCAGGCAGAAAGGGGAGAAGGAAAGGAAAAAGAGAGAAAGAGAGAGAGGAAGGAACTGATCAGCTCCCTACAAGGGAAGAATCTAGATGGTGAAAATTCTGTAATCTGAGTCCAATGGAGTCACAGAGGCAAGATCAGCATTAGTAAGGAGAAAAGTTTCAGTTGGATGTTAAGATAATGACCTAGAACCTACACAGAAATAGCTTTCTTTTCTCTATAACTTGAAGAGGTTTTTTTAGGAGCTTGACCAAAGCCAGGAATAAAAAGAAAAGATAAACTAGGAAAAAGTTGAATCCACTCTTTCTTCTGTATCCTGTAATATTTTTAAATAGGGAAACATAGAATGTCGTATTAAATTTTTACTTAAATAATTTGAGCATTTAGAAATATCTCTACAAAGACAGGAATTATGTCATGTATTTTAAAAGCCAAATGAAGAGTATTGATTGCAAGGCTGCACAGGAAGAAAGGGGCCATAAGAGGGGGCAAGCATTATTTTTGTAAATGGACTTAGGATGTTCTGGAATATCAGCTAGGCAGGGTGTCTTCTGCTTGAGAGGAACCTGATATAAGTTGCAGCACAGGAATAAAAGGGCAGGTGAGGCTAGGAAGGGCCAAAAAAGAGAATAAAGATAAAAGATACAAGGAGCTGGCAATCCTCTAACAACTCTGCTGCACCACCCAAGACCTCTCAGGGATAAACGTAGTAACCCAAGGGTAAGATGGGAAGATCATGAAGGAGTAAAAAGATACTTGTCAGTTTTAACATTTGTATTTTTAAACAGCTACAGTAAAATCATATCAAAAAGGAAAAAGAAATTTAAATGTGGCCTTATTGTCCATATTTTATTATTAAAGCCTTGGTTCCTATTCCACTAAAAAATGCACATACATAAATCACATGAAATGACTGAAATAATAAAAAGATAATAAGTACAAGTGACATCAGTAGAAACAGTTGTATAATACAAAGGACATTTTCAACAAGACCTTTGTCCACTTCTAAAGACTAAGGGCAAAAACTCTGCTGAGTTATCACTACTGGTTTTACTCATTTATGGAATCCAGTTATAAAAGTACAAAGAAATTGGACATGGGAATGACCAATTGGTTAGATTTATAGTAAGAGAATAAGATCAACAATTATTCAAGAACACGTAAAGACTCAAGACCCATTGTATAATATACACAAAGTATCATATACTGCTTCTCCTTTTAAACCTAGAAAATAGCATGACAAATAGACTGAGGCAAAAGCAAACTGAAGAAATTAGTTTCAAATGCTGAACAAGGGAAGGGAAAGGTGACTCACTGCAACAATGCTTTGGTCTTCCTGGTGGGGTCTTCTGGCTTGAAGTTTTTATAGGCTTCCACTTCATGTTCAATGGAGAGCAACTGTCCCTGTAGTTTGTTCCTGAAGTTTGGCAGGGTATCTCGAATGTGGTTGGTAAGTTGCTAAATAAAACAAAACAACATCATATGGATATAACAGATTAAAGATTAACTCATGAGATAAAAATTGACCTTTTCTCTTTTCCGAATCATTCAAAACTTAAAAATCACATACATATATACATTTGAGACTAACTATGTAGATAAATAATGAGAAGAAGCTCCCATTCTCTCCTCTATGGCCTTATGGACATGCTCAAAATCCCTTCAACTGGAGTTACTCACTTGGGCTACTTCTTTGTGCCTGGAAAGACCCTGTTAAAATGCACATAACAGTAATAATGAGGCTGCCTAATAACAATTTTGCATAAATTGATTTATCAGATTACCTATATTATAGGAAAAATACAATATACGTAAGATAAGTTAGAATGTGGTTAGAAATCAAGGAATTGGAGACTTCTAGGTGCTGCTGGGTGTTTTCAGGACCATACTGGTAGAACTCATAGGTACCTGTCAGTTGTTAACTTCTTCTCCACTTTGCAGCTCAGACAGGTGTTTCCTCTTGCCCTGCCTTTAGTGCCAGTCCAGAGGTGGGTGTTCAGTGGCTTATGCCTTCAGCAGTTTGCATACAAAAGCTCCATGACTAGCAAAAGAAATCACTCTCTCTGCTGCTGATATCTCTACCTAACCATCTACTTGGTATTTCCACTGAGATCATATGCCAGCACCTCCCACTTAGCAGGGTGAAAAATTCTCAGAGAGATTGTATATGAGCACATGATTAATTAAGAAAAAAGATTAATTAAGAAAAAAGAAAATTAATTAAGAAAAAAGGGGTGCCTGGGCGGCTAAGTCGGGTAAGCATCCAACTCTTGATTTTGGCCCAGGTCATTATCCTGTGGTTGTGAGATTGAGCTCCACATAGGGCTCTGCACTGGGCATGGAGCCTGCTTAAAATTCTCTCTTCCTTTCCCTCTCCCCTTCCCTCACTTGTGTGCACCCACATTCGCTCACTCTCTCTTAAAAAAAAAAATGTGGGATATAAACCCAGATTGGTTAGCTCTCTGCCTTATGTTCTTTCCATTACAATGCAGTTAAGCAAAAGTCTGAATTAAAAGGAGAAAAAAGATAATCTTCTTGAATTAGTTAAGTAATAAACTTGGAATTAGAAGAAAGGAAGAATGTAAACTTCACAGAAATGCAGGAAAAAGAATAATAAATTAAAAGTAAGAGTAATTGGGGAGCCTGGGTGGCTCAGTCAGTTGGGCATCCAACTTTGGCTCATGTTATGATCTCATGAGTTTGAGCCCTGCTTTGGGCTCTCTGCCATCATCGTTGAGCCTGCTTTGGATCCTCTGTCTCCCCTCTTTCTGCCTCTCTCTTTCTCAAAAATAAGTAAACATTAAAAAAAAAAAAGTAAGGGAAATAAATATACCCAGACTGACTGAAGAAACCATCTTAATCATTTTTTATGTTTATCTGAGGTTACCTGAATATATCTATTCAATGAATCTATAGTTATTTAATTGTTGATAGTTTGTAACTATATTATACCTTTGCCCACAGTATGATGTATGCTATTACCCAGCATGTGCTATTATTATAGCTCTGAAGCAGAATGTAGAGGACTGCATTCCCAGTAGCAACGCCACAAACCCCCAAGTCTAAGAATACCAGTAACCACGAGAAACCTGTCTGCCATGTGAGTGGTAAATGATAAAAACACTAGGTTTCCACTTTTTGCTTCTCAAGCATCTCAACAGCAAAGCAACACTGTGGACCACTCTTGGCTTCCTAAAACACTTCTCTCCTTGGCTTTGGTCACCCTATGTCCTCTCATTTTTATCCTAACATTTATGGATGTACCTTCTCCATCTCCTTTGCTAGGCCATACCTCTCCACCAGACCTGTAAATATTGACATTCCTCAAATCTGATCCCTAATCGTCTTCTTTGAACAGATTCCTTTCCTAAAGGGATCCTATTCCACTCATAGCTTTAATAAATATCCAAACACCCATGAATACCAAGGTATTATCTACAGACCAGACATTTTAATTTTGCTGCAGGCATATGTCCTAGACCACAGACTTTACTTCTCTTAGATGTGTCAATGACACCTCAGCCCCAGCATGTCTGAAATCAAGCACCTAATCTTCCTTTCAGAGTTGTCCATTTTGGTGACTTCATAACAATCTAGGAACTTGGAAGTTATCCTTGACTACACCTCTCCATCACTCACCAGACCTAATCTACCACCAAGTTCTCAATTTTCCTAAACAATTCTCAATTCTGCTTTTTTCATCTTCACTGGCCCTAACCAAGACCAAGATACTATCATTTTGACTCCTAACTTCTGGTGTCTAGTCTTGATCTTATCTGCAACTACCATGATCACTGTTAATCCACAAATACAACTGTGTAATTCACCTATTCAGATGCCTTAAATGCCTACTCCTCTTAGGATAAGAACAAAAATCTTTAACTTGCCTACACACATTACAGGATCCAGCCTCTGCCTACTTCTCCAAATTTGTCTCTTACAACTCACTCCCTCATTCTCTGCCCTCCAGCCATAATGACATTCAATTCCTCAAAAATGTCATGTTCTGTTCCAGGTTTTCACCATAGAAACTGTCCCTCAGGCCCAGAGGTGGTGCACACAATGAATCAGCCATAAAAGTATCCTATTTTCAAACAGTTTGAAGATCCCTGAAGCAATAAAAAGAAGGTGATTATCAAAGAAATGAGAGATCTTCAGTACAGAATTCATTCAGTTTTCAGACAACCAGAATCCAATTATGTCATAATTTAGGGGTCATTTGTATGAAAAAATTGCCAATCATATTCTTTTTATTTTTCTAGTATTCACAACCTAATTTATTTCCAACCTTATCTTACTGGTCATCCTAGTGATTTTTTCAGTTTGTGTTATTCTTAGATAAATACAGGGAGAAAAGAATTAATCTAAAAAGAGTTTTGCCAATATTTAATATATTTGTGGAATATTATGGTTTTGCATGACAAATCAATATTCTGTGTCTAAAATATATTCATATTTGTTAAATGACACAAACACAGCACTACCTCCTGGCTTCTAAATACTCATCTACCCTTAATTAAAAAGCACAAATTTTACATTAGTCTATGTTATATCACAAAAAATAGAAGTATACCACTGCTTTTTTTTTTTTTTAACTTTCCAAAACTTGTTCAATTGTTTTGCCTAAATAGTTCAGGTCCAATGTCACAAGTAGGCTGCTACTATGTTAGTCTCTGCTGACACCTTCCAGGAGCAAACAATCAGAACATGCAATAATAACTTGACTTATTGACTGTTAAAATTCATAAACAAGAGTTGAAGCACATCTTATAATTCTATTTGTGAGAAAAGCTGCTCACCATTTGGTCAATTTAATTGAAACTCAGGGAGGAAGCCTGCACTCACTAAGGATGATGCTTAACTTCCCCAGGAGATGAAAAGTATGTAAAAAAAAAACAAAAAAAGTGTACTGAGGTTTCATGGAAGAAGTATGTAAATTCATGCAATGTGAGAAGATGGGGGCCCAAGTCTATCTGTGCAGGGAAAGGAGTTAATCTGGAAAAACTTCTAGATGAATGGATATCAGTGAGCTTATAATGATGCCTAACTTAAGGAAATCTAAGCTATTACAAATTAACATTTTAAAACCAGATCCCAAGAAATCAACCTTTCAGAAATATACAAATTTAATTTCTTAAGGTAACTACATATTGTGAGTAAAATGGGTGCTAATGTGTACCCTTGTGCACTATTCCTAAATAAGTGTATGCTTCTGCTTTGAGCAGTATTCTTTCAATAACATTAAAGCAGATTCTACTCACTGAGAACAGTAAGAGTGTGGAACTAAGTTTTCATATTCATTTTTTAATTCATATCATTAAGCTGGATGTCTTATTTTAGAAAAAAGTGAATATTAAAATGAGAAATATGAATTCTAAGAGTAACTTACATATTTCATAATTGTTCTTGTTGCTTGAGAAAACATTGTTACCTGATTAAGGACCTTCTGCAGGTGTGGAGTCCCCATCCTATCAGCAATATGTCTGTAAGCTGGGTGCGAGAGAAAAAATTTCCTTTCTGCCAACATGGCAGCCTTAATGTCCTTCTTCCCATCTATGTCCTTCTGACTTCTGTTTACCACCCCCACATAACCTGAAACAGAACACATACAGTGGGGTTTAGGATGTTTTTTGTTGTTTATTCTGGGAAGATTTCAAGGCTCCTTAAGAGGCTAAATAAGAAAGGCAAAACTATTTTTAAGGACTGAAGAACTGAATCCTATACAAAACTCAGTTTGAGACATTAGTATTTAACAAAGGCTGGTTCGTGTGGCTAATTATAATTTCTTAGCATTAACACAACAATGTCTTTTGCCCTTAAAAGCTCTGTACAGTTTAATACAGTGTGTCTCTTAGCAGTTTTTTCATATGTGGGCAAGTAAATAAATCAAACTTAAAACAAAATAGTATATGTTTATGCAGTCTACAATGAATATTTATACCCTCCCTTCAAACTCTTTCCTTTTCCTGTTTTCTTATTCCTGTTATTTTAAGAAATAATTCTCCTATTGGATCATTTTTAATATATCACTTGGGAACATTATGCCACTCCATAAAAAGTATAATTAATCATGAATACATTATTCCTCACAACCATGAAGGCATAAAACCAAGTTTCCCATTGGTTTCCCAGTTGTTTCTCTGCCACATCACCAAAGGAGGTCTTGTGTAGGACACAGTACATTACCCCTGCGAAGAGGCAGCAGCTTGTTCTCCAGAACATCCCTGGCATCTGTTCCTTCATCCATAAGATCCAATTTGGTGATGACTCCAATGGTTCTTAAACCTGTATCATAAACAAACCCACTTTATCACACAGTTTGCAAAAGACTAACAAATTTTAGAGACATATATGTCCCAACACTAAATGCAAGGTACTCATATTTCAGGTCCTATTCCTGTTCCTCTCTGTCTTACTTTGTTTTCTAATCTACTGCTATCCCAGTCTGGTGAATTTTGATGGGATGAGCAGGATAGTTTTGAAATCACCCATCTTGGGGCACCTGGATGACTCAGTCTCTTAAGCATCCAGCTCTTGGTTTGGGCTCAGGTCATGATCTCATAGTCTGTGAGTTCAAGCCCTGCATCAGGCTTTGCACTGGCAGCCCAGAGCTTGCTTGGGAGTTTTCTCTCTGCCTCTCTCTCACACTCTCATAAATAAATAAATAAATAAATAAATAAATAAATAAATATTTAAAATAAAACCACCCATCCATAATATCACAATAATTTTAAATATATGAGTTTATTTTTGTACTATGTATAAATTATACACTTAAAATTTTCTTCCAAGGAATGTACACAATATGGGTTCTTTAATTTTTTTATGTATTACTTTATTGAAAACAAGCAAACAAGTAGGCTACACATGGACCGATGAAGAGAGTCTGTCATAAACCAAAGCTTATTGTTGATCCAGTTCTGAGCACTTAACAAACAAATTATAAGAAAATTAGGTATAGGATAGTGTCATCACCAAAAATAAAGTTTCAAGTCTCACAGCATTCCCTGTTCCTTAGAAAAAGAACTATGACTTAATGGAAAGAAGACTAAACTAGGAATCCTGAGGCTTGGATTCTAGTCTCAAGGCAAATCTCTTAACTCTCTTCTCTGGGTATCAGTTTTCTTCATCTGTAATATAAAGAGTTGGAAACCATAATTTCCAAGGTATATTTCAGTAATAAAATAATGTAAAAGCCCAGACATTTTATGTAGCACACCAGATATTTTGTCTTTGCCCATTGCTCCCTTCACTAGATAAAATGAACAATACTTGTCTAGTGATTCAAATCTTTAAGTGCATTCTTTGGACTCCCAGTTAAACATGATAAACTGAACACACACCTTTATCTTTTTACCTGAAAGCACTCTATAATGGGTAATATTTATTGGGTCAGCTATGGCTTTACATGCTTAACATGTCTTACATCATTTACTCTAAAAAAAATCATTTAATCATTAAAAAAGGACTCCAACTACTATTTTTTCAAGATGAGGAAAATAAGGCAGGAAGAGATTAAGTAACTTTCCCAAGGTCATACACGGGTTTAGGCATCCAGAACCCATACAATATACTGCTTCTCACCAGAAAAAGAATTTTAAAAATTAAGGTTTCAAACAAGAAAGTCCAAGAAAATGGGAGAGAACTGAAAAAAAATTTTGAAACTGGAAACCCGCAGGATGACTAACTAAGTTAACAGACTAGAGTAAGAGGAAAATTGCATCCAAGAGACCCAGTGACAGGAGAAGCTCCATAGCTGGCTAATATACATCACAGCCTCTCAGAAAGGTTCAGGGAAACCAATAGCTCTGACAATAATGGAGAGTAGTGGTGGCATTTGAGGCTGAAAATAAGAGTGCTGGATGAAAGCAGTGCGATTTCCATGGATAACATAGCTAAGAGCTACCCTGTCCCATTCTGGCAGGAGAGTACAGATTTACTCTCTGGAAACACTGAACTACGGAAAACTGAACTAATGGGCACCTGGCCCAGTTAGAGGGCATCAGGTATTAAAAGAGGGTGATTAAGTGAAATTCCACATACTGAATGGCAAGACCTCTCTTTAATCTAGTTTAAGAAAAAGCTGGATGGTAGAATTTAGCCCCCCAAGCAGGGGACTGGAGCAACTCTGTCTGGGGAAATTAATGATTCTAAGAAGAAAGCATAGATATTGAAATTCAGAGGAACTCCAATCAAAACAGCCTAATAAGTTATCCTACTAAAAAGCCTGTAACTCCTTTAGCAAAGCACACCCACATAGAGTTTCCAATCACCTATTACTATTTAATTTTTGAATATAAATCAGTAAGTGTAGGTTACCATCTGTCATCATACAAATTTATTATATTATTGATTATATTCCTTATGCTGTATTTTAAATCCCTGTGACATTTATTTTACCATTCTGTGATATATGTAATTGTAAAGCCACTATGTTGTACACCTGAAACTAATATCAAATGTTAAATATCAAATTTATAATAATATAATATATATAATATATATAAATATATAATTATAATATATAATATAATATAATATAATATAATATAATATAATATAATATAATATAATATAAAAATATAAAAATATAAAAATATAATATATATTATATATTATAGATTTATATATAATATAATAAAATATTATATTATATTATAAAAATAATATCAAATATTAAATGTCATATATGCTTTGATAAAAAATAAAAAATTGTTTAATAATTTAAATGGAGAGCCAAGGAGAATCTTTGAGACCAAAACAAACAAATGTTGTTTGTTAATGAGAGGTTATTGCATTCATTGAATAAAAATAGAATGTCATAAAAGAAAACATTCAAATAAACAAAAAGGATTCTCATTAACTAAAAGTACGAGTAGAAATTTTTAAAAATGTTAGTTGAATGGTTGGAGTACCAAGTTAGAGACTCTTCCAGAAAACAAAACAAATAGAAGTAAATAATAGAAAGGAAAAACTTGTTTAAAACTAGAGAAATAATCCATAAGATCCAGTATCTGAATAATTGACATTCTGGGAAAACAGAGAAGATGAAACAAATAATTGGTGGGGAGGGAACACACTATTCAAGAAAATAGCTTATAAGTGGAAGATAAAATTATGCATTAAAGGAACCCATCAAGTGTCCAACACAATCTGAAAAACACAAACAATATGGCATATCAGTATAAGATTTCAAATACCAAAAGAAAGTTTGGGAATATTTATAGCATCGGTCTTCCCAGCAACAAACTGGAAACTAAAACTCAATAGAGTGATATTTCCAAAATTCTGAGGGTAAAACTATATCTAGCCTGGAATTCTAAACTATCAATAAATGTGACAGTAGAAAAAGATATTTTCAGACTTGCAAAATATAAAAATATTTTACCTTCATTTTTCTTTTTCTTCAGAAACTACTAAAGGGTATGTTCCACCAAACATGGAAAGCAAACTGACAGAGAAGTAAATAAGAGATCCAGAAAGGAAGAAATATAATATAACCAAGAAAGAAGGGAATTTTCAGGATGGTGTAGATCCCAGTACTAGGCCATAAGAACAGTCAACATCCATTAGAATGAGAGGGTGCAGATTACTGAAAAATTGTGTTTCCCCACCAAGAAAAAAAATGAAAGTGATAGAATGCCTAATGTCTACAATTTTTTAAGGTATTAAAAGATGTAGACTCCTGAAGGAGAAGCTGGGAAAGTACTGGTGATGGATATATAGAAGACCATAAAAACAAACAAAAAGAGAGACAACTATCAACCTTGAAGACCACAATATTATGTAAAAAAAAAAAAAAAAAGATAATGTAATCATAATTTACACATGGCTCAGCTGCAAATGATGTTTTCAGAATCATAAATCTAAATATATTAGTAGAACTTGGGAAGGCAAGTGTATATATATATATATATATGATTAGTATAAGTGGGTATGGGAGAGAGATTTAAGAAAACTAAATCCTTCTACACAGGAGGGAGTCAAAAGTGAATATCTAAAAATAAAAAATCAAGAAATAGTAGTATAAACAGATTACATAGAAATATGAACGTAAAACCAAAAGAAAGCTAAAAGGATTGACAGTAAGAGTCTCTAGAAATCAGTAATCAAAAGTCAGGAGTGTGCAAGGAACTAACAGTTTCTGTTAAGCACCTTTGAAACTGATTTTTTTTCATGTATATTTATAATGTAATAAAAATAAAAGTGAAATTTTGGAAGTCTTTTCTTTACTATTCCTTTATTTCTGCAAAGGCAGAGAAGTCTATTCTCAGCTGTGTACTGCAAAGGAGATAGTGAAGATTACTTTCTTTTCACATTTAGTTATACAAATAGGAACTTAAAATAATCAATGAACTCCTGCTGGTGGACTCAAGATCTACACTCAAAAAGCCATTGTCAAAAGAGATTCAAAGGCAGCACATGTTCAAAGCACATCACTGGGAATCTAAAGACTCAGATAAAAATAATAATAGAGACCATGTATTGAGTTGTGATTATGTGGTGGACATAGACTTGAAACAACTCTATGAGATAGGTACTATTATCTTCTCAATTACACAGATGAGGAAGTAAGATTGGGAGAGGTAAAACACACTATTACCTAAAGGCTTACAGACTGTAGGGTATGGAATCTAAGCAACCTAATTCCATTTTTTAAAAATTTTTAAAGGTTTATTTATTTTGAGAGAGAGAGAGCATGAGCAGGGGAGAGGCAGAAAGAGAGGGAGACACAGAATCCAAAGCAGGCTCCAGGCTCTGAGCTCTCAGCACAGAGCCTGACATGTGGCTTGAACTCATGAACTGTGAGATCATGACCTGAGCCTAAGTCAGATGCTTAACTGACTAAGCCACCCAGGTGCCCCTAATTCCATTTTTAATCACCATATTTTTCCACCTCCCAATTCTTAGCTTGATTCTACATGTGATTAGCTCTGTTTTTTGGCAATTTAGTTATATTATATGTTCCTGCCTATCTACATGTAGAACTAAAAGATTACTGGTGGGGAAGGGCCAGCATGATGGAGAAGTAGGGGGACCCAAAGTTCCCTCATCTCTCAAACACAGCAGTGTTGAGGCCAAGAGTCTGGGCAGCAAACTGACAGAGATGCCTCCAGGGCTTCACTGAAACAACCTGATGGGCCATAGGTGTGTGGTTGCAAACTGGGAATGGAGGATCCCCTTCTGCGGAGAGACAAAGGGAATAGAAAGAGAGGCTGGAGAAGCCCAAGACTGTATCTGGACAAGAGAAAAACCAGGAAAGATCCAATCTCCAGCTGTGGGGC